CTGTTTCCTTGGAAATGCTTCGGCTGTAATTTATCCGAACAACAGCTTCCTTGACCCTCTGAGGAGAAGCAGTCACAAACAGACTGCAAGGGACAGAAGGGGACGGAATCTCTGACGTGCGGCTCGCGCGTGTGCACGTGGGTGTCCCACCGTGGCAGCCTGTGACAGGCACCGTACGCGCACGCTGGGCTGGGCGCCGGCCATCGCGGCTCTGAGCTCATGCAGTTGATCTCGTTTGACAGACAGCAGCCCGGCCTGTTGCACCGAGTACAGAATGTTCTCTTCTGTGAACTGTGCTTGAACTTTTCCAACCCACTTGCTTGCAGGAACCACACAGACACAGGGAAAAGACGGGGAAGATAACCCCCAAATTGTTGAAATCATGGTGTTCTCGGGGATTTTGGCTCAGGCTGTTTGCTTTGCACTGCTTGAAATTACAAATCCCAAGCATTCTACTTCTTGGAAGAACAAAATGCCTGCGATGTCCTTCCTCTAAGACAGGACTTGGCATCAAGTCTGGAAATTAACAAGTCTGTCACTGTCTCTTTTCAATTTCTTCTTTTTTTTTTCTCCTCTTAGGCATTCAAGGAACAACAACAATAAAAGTTATTTTCCTATAAAGGAAAGATAAGGTCCCCGGGAGCTTGTGACTTCTCTCTCAGTGGTTCAGGCTGTCACATATTGTAACTAGTGTTCTCCAATTTGCTGCTATGATGGGAGAGGGTGACAGTGAGCCGTTGGCCTCTATCTAGATGACCAATGAGAGGAACTGCTGGTGTCCTTCTTCGCCTGGGGCACAGAGAGTTTAGGGGGCCCCTCAGAGAACCTGTAGGACGGACGGCACGGTACAGGGTAGTGGTTTTCCAGCTTATTATGATTATTGTTGTTATTTATTTATTTATTTATTTAGTCTTTTTGAGACAGGGTCTCCCTATGCAGTTCAGGCTGGCCTTGAGCTCACTGTGTAGCCCGGGCTGGAAACTCACAAAGATCCTCCTGCCTCAGCCTCCCGAGTGCTGGGATAAAGGCATACACCACCAAGCCCAGCTATTGTTATTTTAAAACAAAAGTCTTGCTATGTTGTCCAGACTAGACCCAAACTTCTGGGCTCAGGAGATCATCCTGTCTCAGTCTGTGAAGGAAATGGGATCATGCACCACTACACCCAGCTGATAATTATTATTTTTAACAGTAGTTGGTTCCTTTCTTTGAACTAAAATTCACCCAGAACTCACAGGTGAAACAGGAGGAGCACACCTGTGTGGGAAGTGTGAGCAGTCGGCTTACAATGTTCTTCCCTCCTCTGTCCTCCACCGGGGCTGGCCGTTTAACTCAGGGCCTCCAGCATGTCGGCAAGTGCCCCCTCTTTTTTTATGTACTTGGAATTGAGCCAGCCAGCTTTGCACTGAGCTACATCCCCAGCCTTGTTGAAAATTTGTTATTTTGAGCAGGGCTCCTCCTGAGTCACTAAGATGCCCAGGCTGGGCTTGAACTTGCAACCTTCCTGCCCGAGCCTCCCAGAGTGCTGGGACCGCAGGTGTGCAGCACCGTGCCTGGCTGTGCCGCCTTACTGTGGGTGCTGCCGTAATGCTGGGCGTCTTCTGAGGCTCCCTGGTGCGGGGGCAGAAAGCCTGTCAGATGCCCCGGCGGAGTCGTTTATAAGTGTTGATTGTCGCGCTGGAGAAATGAAAGTGAGTCTTCTCTCGCACTCACAGTTCTACCTCCTGCCTCAGAGTGTGGGGGCTTCTGTCTTATGTATTTTGCTTCCTGTTGGCAGCAGGGCGATTTCTACCAGAGTATCTTACTTCTGAGATAGTTCCAGTTTTCACAGATTTCCTACTCCATTTTATTTGAAAAGTCATATGTCAACAGGCCGTAAGAACGGCAGTTAATGAGTAGTACGCCACTCATTCTGTAAACTTCGGTTGAATACTGTATGTTTGTGGCTGGGACCTAGGGTTTGGGAGACAAATAAGACAGGTACACTGTGTTCAGTTTATTGTCCAGTGGGAGAGGCAGAAACACACACACACTATATATATTATACATGCATATCATTTATAAGGCAGAAGAGGTTTCTGTGTGCTCAGGGGAAATATAAGCAATAAACTGTGGCAGGAGAGTGCTACAGGAACAAGATAAGGATTCTCATAGAAGGAAGCTGAGGCAAGAGCGGTCTGGGTGGTAAAAGGGATCATGGCCGTAGACAATCTTTGTGGTTAACAGAATTGCCCAGCAACCGGGCGTGGTGGCACACGCCTGTCATCCCAGCACTCAGGAGGCTGAGGCAGGAGGATCACTGCAAGTTCGAGCACAGTCTAGGGTACATAGTGAATTCAAGGCAGCCTGAACTATATAGCAAAACCCTGTCTCAAAAAAGGTGGTGGTGGGGGGTGGCTGGGCGCAGTGGCGCAGGCCTGTAATCCCAGCACTTGGGAGGCTGAGGCAGGAAGATCGTTGTGAGTTCGAGACCAGCCTGGGCTACAAAGTGAGCTCAAGGCCAGCCTGAACTTCATAGCAAGACC